GTCACCCTCAAAGTAAAGAAGTTTTTCCTCATATTCAACTGAAACCTCTTATGCTTCAGTTTGTGCCCATTGCCCCTTGTCCTGTTCCTGGGCACCACTGCAAAGAATGATTCTATGATTCTATGACATCCACCCTTAAGATATTTGTATGTGTTGATGAGGTCCCCTCTCAGTCTTCTCTTCTTCAGGCTGAACAAGCCCAACTCTCTCAGCCTTTCCTCGTAGGGGAGATGTTCCAGTCCCTTTATCGTCCTAGTTGCTCTCCTCTGGACTCTTTCTAGGAGTTCCTCATCTTTCTTGAACTGGGGAGCCCAGAACTGGACACAGTACTCCAGGTGGGGTCTCACCAGGGCAGAGTAGAGGGGGAGGATAACCTCCCTCGACCTGCTGGCCACAATCCTCTTAATGCACCCCAGGATACCATTGGCCTTCTTGGCAACAAGGGCACACTGCTGGTTTAGGATCTTTGGTTGATATCTCGATAGAATGATGGTACAGATATGTTCTCAGATTGACTTTAAGCACATGATGATGATGAGAGTTATTCTCAAATCATTGTTTGGAGTAAAGTATTAAAGTTACTGGTCAGTTTTGCAGATTTGAAGATCTTCAAAAGCAGAGGGGATGATATGAAGGCTAATAACTAGTTGTTCTTAAAAGTTATTCTGTTATATTGTGGCAGAAGAATTGAAAAAAACCTAACTTGCAACCTGCCATTTTATTTACAGAAAAATGTCTGTACAGGATTTCAACTCACATGTGTAATAAGAAAAAATAGTGGTGCATATGCAGTTCTGTTAGAGTAGGGCCATAAATGTGTAAGTGGTGTGCTTTGTTTTCCCATACAGTGCATAGGAAGTAAACTAAGAAGTTAGCATTTCAGCAAGAATTACTTTGAAATAAAGCATGTAAGTTGAGTCCTTAGGGAAGAACTGTGCTTCTGGAGCAAACTCAAAAGTAAAACATCTTTCAGAATTACTTTTTTGGATCCTCTTCCATTTGATTTGGCTCTCAAGCAATTCTTCCTCTTTTCTTTGATGCTTATGGAAGATAATACTTGGAATAAAGACTTTCTTCTATACCTGAGCTGCTTCATAATGTTGATACTTTACTGGAACTGTAATGAAATTATCTCTTAAGGATATTATGTGGAAATAGTTAGATGTCCCCAGTTAATGCCTGAAGTAACAGCATTGCCCTGATTGGCCTTTATCCAGAAGTAGCTTGACACTTAAGTTCTGCTCAGACAGAAGTTTTCCTAGTTTGCAGGAGGAACTTTTACAGGTAGCTATCTTTGCACAGGGATTAGAGAACAAGAGCAGGAGAATGAATTGTGTGATACATGTGTAGTAAACTAACACTGACTTCTGGGTTGCTCTTGAAAACTTCTTTGTTATATACGTCCATTAACTACTGTGACTTGTGCCTGATGCGATTGCAGTGCACGGTGGCATTAGTCATTAGCAGCCTCTAAATAGCTGATTCACACCAACCTAAAAATACAATGCATGAAGACATCTTCTGTTTGAAACCTAAAAGCAGTAGTAAAGCTTTCATGCATAAGTATTTATCATAAATATTTTTTTTGTTCCCCAGAAGGAAATGGACTTGAGGAGTTGTGTTCTTTGTGTTTCCATCTGTGCAGTTTCCCTGAATTGTTTCCTGAAGTAGTTTCTGAACCTGTTGAAAACTTAATTAGATTTGACAGGAAAGTTGTCTAAATTTAGTAAGCTTCTACAAATTTAATGGAAACTCATGAGCATACAAGAGAAGGAAATCTGAAGTATTACCTTAAGGAAGGCGAAAGATGTAGCATGGTTTCACCACCTGTCTAATCTGCTTGCTGATCTGCCAGCTCCTCAGTGTGCAGCAACAGGCTGCCACAGCACATGCATTGTACGACCCTGTACAGACACTGGAACCTGAAATGATGCTTGCTGCCTTTTTGTCTCCAGCCAGTGGTGAAGGTGCAGGGGCAAGAGGTAAGGGTAGAGTGGGGAGGAGGACATGGTAGGAGATAGGTAGGAGCAACTATATTAGGGGTTGGTAAAAGTGTTTTGGTCAGGGAGATGTACATAGCAAGAGAGATCTCCGTGATATTGCTACGGGTGGTATAAAGTACAAAATCCGTAGGATGACAGGCTTTTTCTCTTCGCATAATGACTTGTTTAGAATAAGCAGTCCACTTGCAATGTACATGCAGCTTATGAATGCATGTGAAATACCCATGAAACAAATAAGAAACTATCAAGAAATGAGGGAAAAGGTATACTTTCAACAGTTCCAGTGAAAAAAAAGTTTTAAGAAAATGCCCTTATATAGGTTGCAGGATGTCTATAGTCAGTGCAGATGTGACTGCAGTTTTAAGTGCTAGTTTTAATTTAAATAATATGGGTAAAAATGGCAGTTCCATTTAAGCAGCACACCTCTGGTTGTACAGGCCTAATGTACAATGGACCCTAAAAGTGTATGTGGTTGTCTGGCCCACTGTTGAAGTTAATGCTGCCAAGTGCATAGATACTCTTACAATTGAAGTAATGCAAGCACACCTATTTGTGCTGTGAATGCATCTTTGGTTTGCTGTACAGCTATCCTGCCAGGGCAAACACTGTCTTAGAACCCACATTGTGCTTTAAGTCTTCAGAACGCGATGGGTGTTCACTCTGAGCAAAATATTGTCAACATGCTAGTTTTGGAAGCTGGGCTATGGATAGTGGGTTTTGCTTTGGACTGCAAAGTTGTTGTGAGAGCCATCAGTAACTTGTCATCAATGTTTCTCAGTCCTAAGACTGTACATTTTTTTGGACTTCAGTAATTATTTTTATATCAAAACCCCAAAAGTCCCAAACAGCCTGTGGAACTTGAACTAAGTTGCAGTACTCTTAAACTCTATACTGCTTCTGACTTTTTACAAACACGACTCCACAAAACAAACAGCAAATTGTCCTACTATTTTTAAAATTGATCAGAAAGTCTTTTCTAAGTTTTTGTTCATGTGGATCTGAAGTTGTCTCCTTTTAATCTTAGTTTTCAGTTATGAGCATCTGTCTTTCAAGAGTTAGTAGAGAGCTAATGTGGTAAGGAAGGCTACCACCATTACTTGGAAACAATAAGATTTGTTTCCTTACCTTCTTATGAACAAATGTGGGAGGATGAAAATGCTGAGATGGTCTTCTGCATCTCTCTCCTGCAAAATAAGTTGTTTATCTTAGATCTCAGGTACTAGGAAAAAGTTAAGAGGGTTGTTGCTATGGCATAGCCATTGTGCTGATACCACTCTGCTCATTTATGAAGGAAATAACATCTACACGTTAAACAAACTGACCCCGCTGGTTCCAGTGTTTGCTATTTTACCTGAATTGGTTTGAACATACAGTGCTTTCATTGTAGCTGGTCTGATAATGCACTGTTCTTATTAAGTATTGTCACTTTTCCCAATAGGAGCAAGGCAGAGACACCTCTGCGATTGTTACAGAAGAAATAAAGCATATGATTGACTACTGTGAGAAAATTCAAGCGGTAGAAAATTTGATTACAGCTGCCAGCCCACAACATGTGCTGTGCTTTGCAGCCTATGGACTTTTCTAAGCTGTATATACAACACAAAAAAGAAAAATCTTGCTTTTGTGCCATCACATGGTGTCTTGTCAGTGTGTTATTATCTGAAAGTTCTATTCCTGAATCCATTTTTCACGACTGAGATTTCTTGTACCTATACTTTCATCCTATCTTCTCTTTTCGCTCTCTTATCCTTGCTGTTAACTGCATTGATGGACATTGCATCTAACGTGGCAGTAGCTGGGAGAAGTAGAGCACCAGAAATCTATTTTCTAAGCATTTATATTAACAAGGGCCAGAAAGAAAAATTGCTTTTTGAAATACGAATTAGTGGAATAAACTGATCTTTGTAGTACAAATTATTAAATCATAATACTAAATTCTGTTTTACAGGAACACAGTCTCAAAGTTGAAACTGGGAATGACCAATATCTCTAAATGAACGTGTAGTTTTCAGTAAATAAAGACCCCATAGTGAACAATACAAAAAAATGAGAAAAATCGTGAATTGTGCTAATGTCTCTCAGGGATAAAAGTACCCAAACATCGAGAAATACAACAAGAGTATTCTAGCCTACATTTTGTTCTAATAATGTCCCAACGGCTGCTCCTTGGTGCCAACTTTGATCTCGGTTTCTGCGACAGGAGACAAAGATGGTTTTGCCCAGTGGGGTTTAATTTATGCAAATCAGCAGATGGTTTTGCGGGAGTATGAGTTGTTATGTTTCCTAAGTGGATGAGTTTGCTTTTTTTAAATACCCTGGCAGCAACAGATTTGTCAATATCTTGCATTATATTTTTGAAATGGCCTTTCAATTACTTTAATTGTGGTTTGTTTGATTCCACCCCCCCACCCCCCCCTAGATTCTGGGACTTTTCCAAGCCTAACCCTTTGCTGGAAACAGTCGAGCATCATACTGAATTTACATGCGGACTGGATTTAAGTCTTCACAACCGTGGTCAGGTAAGAGCTGGGATGAATTTACTTTTCACTTGCCTATTATAGCCACTGTGGTCATGGCTGGACTGCAGGGCTCAGATCCTGAATAAGAGGCATCAGATTGCAGAAAGCTTCTGCAAGTGAGTCTGGCTGAATGCTTATTAAATAAAACTTACTTCAGGTCCATTTTTATTTTTAAAGCAGTTACTTGCATTGGGTAGGAGAGGAGGGCAGGACAGACAGAATTGCAAAGTCAGATAGCTGAAAGCCATGGTGAAATCGGGGAAAATAAGGTAGCTTTGTTTCAGAAGGAAGAGTAATAGAGAAGGGCCTAAGATGCCAAGCTGAGACACAGAGCTTTCTTCCATCTACTTAGAATGTCGAGTTGGTAGTGTCACACATGATACCTATGCTTTGTTTGTCATAATATTTGGAGTGCTAGAAGAGGCCTAATATGTAGTTAGAATTCTAAAATCCTCAGCTGTTGATGTAAATAAGTGGAATCCATTTTATCAGGGGCACTTATTTATGTGCTGCTTGTGGTAGGATTCTCCTCTGCTCCTGTTCTACAATCATTTCTGTTTTGTAAACAGAGGATTGCTGTTTGTAGTATGAACTGTTTCTTCAGGCAAGAAAGGCAGAAAAACTAAAGCTAATTATTTGCTTTAAAACGAGCAAGCCTATAGTTTTCACACAGAAATTACTGTCACTGAGTTTACCATAACTAATGCACTATTTAATGTGCCACGGTTATCATTTGCATCTAGATTCCTTTCTAAGTCACAGTGAAATTAATTTTTTACCCCAGATAAAAATGGCTTGTAACATCTGTGTTGAAATTCTGATTGGACAAAGCAAATAAAACCATTGTAATTTCTGCTACTGATGAAATGACACAGGAGAAAGGTGTAAGTTTGGCAAAATACTTAGCTTAATGCATGTGGAACCGTTCCAGCCAAATGCTAGCTTGGAGAGTTTCCTGCCTCGTTGCTTGTTCCCTTAATTCTGTTGCCTCAGAGGTGCTGCAGTAACTGTTCACAAGGCCATGCTGTGAACCATGTAGGGGAATTTGTAAGGCTGAAAAAAATTCTCAAGTTTCAGTTTATTTTTCATCGGGGAAGGGCAAGTATAACTTAAAAGCCTATTGCTGGGAGTTAAAACCTCATCCCAAATGAGCTCATAGGTATGATTCTGGTTGAATTGGGTCCAGAGGGAGCAGCAAGCATAGTGTAGTACACTAGGGCCATATAGTGCTACATCACTGCAGTTCTCTGAGCCCCATTCAGCTTTCCATGAATTTGATGTGGGTTGTGCCATGGATCTAAATGAGGCAAGAAAATTTTTGTTCATTTTCTGTTGAGGATGTGCTTACATTGTGATTATAAGCCTTTTGCAAAGCACCCTGTGTGTTACAGAATGGGTCTCGGGGCACGGTGTTTCTGACTGTCTGGCTAGATATGACTTATCTTATGATTTATCTGTCAAGCTTGAAGTTGCTGCTATGTGGATATTCTTCCTTTTCTGACTGCAATGTATGGAATAGCCTTCTTGGAGCAAGGCCAAGTAAATGCTCACTGATGATAGATAACGAATTGAAAGCAAACAGCTGCACGTGCACTTGTATGTTGGAAAAAGGAAAATGATGGTGTGCATACCCATCTGCATTAGGGCATGCATGCATCCAGGTGGTACTTTTCCACACAGAAATTCTACAAGTCCGATGATGATGCACAAAATATGTAAATCTGGGGTACATATCCATATATGCTGCATGCCAATGTGCCTTCCAGACAGAAGTTCAGCATCTGCAACAGCTTTAATACTCCTCTGTTTTCTTCTATTGGGTTGATTTAATGTATTGTGAAGGTTGGATATTATAGCAACACAAAATGTAAACATTCTGGTTTTTAAAGGAAGTTTAAAAAACTGTGATTAGAATTAAACTGTAACTGCAAGATAAAGAATAAACACTTACTGAATAGTTGCTTCCAGTATGAGCACTCGCAGCCTTTCCCTGGCTTCTACATTGATCCAGCAAAGATTATTTGCTTACATTTTATGCTGCCATTCCCAATGTAGGTTGTCTTCATGTCTGGTCTCTATCAAGACCTGATAATGAGCCCCATTCATTGTTGTTTTTCATGCATTTGTATGATTTGTGATTTTCACTGTGTGCTTTATAAGGAGTTACAACCTGAGATCTGAACTGCTTCTCTCCTCCATGCATGCAGGGTACTTTATTCATAATGGACAAGCTATTAATTTATAGTCAAATTAAGTACCATTCTGGTCATTAACCTTTGCTTTCGTTCTAAATGATGTTTTTGTTGTCTAGCCAGACGATATTTTCTTTGGCTTTGCCCAATGAACTTCAGCATTTTTGAACTATCTTTTACATGTCAAGGGAAAACCAGTCTGTACTTTTTCAGAAGTGTTCAGAATAGATTCTGTGATTAAATATCTGATCTAGGAATTACAAGACATTCCTGTGGAAGTGATGGAGCTTTGAACAGAATCCACAGGCAGAGAGTACATACATGCAGGCAAGCTGGTTCTTGTGCAGTGTCCTTCTAAGGGGAGGCAACATGTGGGAGAGGGATCGGGTCATAAGGAATGGGGCGCCACTTCTGAAGCTAAGTATTAGCTAGATGAAACGGAAAACTCCTTTGTGCTTAATTAAGATTCTGATATCTATTTGGGGGTATCTGCCTCTACATAAAGTAAGAGTTTGTTGAAAGCTTTGCATTTTAATAAAAACAGCTGTTGTTTGGTTTGGGATTTTTTCCACTGTAATGTTGGTGTCAGGTTCATAGCAATTTCAGACAACTAACAAACAAACTTTCGGGTGCATAGAAAAATGTGCATTTTACAGTGCAAAGCATTACCAGAAATTATCCTCATGATATTCAGGGTATTTCTCTGTTAAGCTACAAGTGCTGATGTGAGAGTTTGCAAGGCAGGTTGTCTAGGAGAAAATACTCCCAACTCCAGCTTTCAGCCAAAGTAGCTTTGGCATGCACAAGAACAGTGAAAAGACCCTAAGCACCAAAAATCTTTTAAATTGTAGCTGAACAAGTCCAATTACCTTGTCAGCAGTATTAAGACTATGCAGTTTTTTAAATCAGAGACGATAATTCTTTTCAAAGTTTGGGGATAAGAAAAACAATTGAAGCTTGCTCCTTTCTATATGCACTGGGTAGGTATAGGATGTATGTAGAGACTATGAAAATGGTAATCAGCTATATACTATTCCTTGCTAGGGGCTGGTAATGCTAAGCCATATATTGGAATTGTACTCAGTAGCTCTTTGGATTTCTTATTTCTCTCCTGATACTTACTTTCCCTGCATGCGATCTCTGAATGTTCTGATGAATTAAAATATAATGCTTCTTTAAGCCTAGCTCTTACTGGGGTTTTGCTGTACTTACTACAGCATATAAGCATGAATGTCACTTCTTTTGGTATAATTTGTGCAGCTTTATTTCAAAGTAGCCTTTTTCTGCTGTTGTAGTTTGAATGTGATATGGCAGTCATGAATTAATTTTAAATGTCTTCTAGGTAATCCATCAATGACACAGATAAAAAGTAGAGATACTGTGGACATTCACGTCTTGTCTTGATTCTGAACTTATTTCAATAAGTATATAAAGAACAGAAAATAGATATGTACCATGACTTTCTTTAAATCATGGACAAAAAGTACCCAGCCCTTTCTGTTGTAGTTCTAAAGCTGTATTTTGCTTAACACAAATGTAAGAAAAACTGAGGCTCTGAATTTTGTCTGAAAACCTTTCTCAGCATACACCTCACGTCTGTTCTGAACTCTGAAAAGCAGCCAGTGGAAAGTATAAATTAATGCTTTCCATTGAGCCAGGCTTTCTATCTTGTTGCTGAGAACAGGAGTAAGAATCTAATGGGAATGGGAGAGGAATCTTTCGATTTCTCTGTACTACAGTATGAACAATGACATTCCTAAATTGCAAGGATATGTGATTTTCAACAGAAGCGATGGCAAGTGTTGTAGTGGCTTAGAACACTTGATACGTGAACAGCACATTAGACATCTGTGACGTGCCAAATCAGAACAGGACTTCAGTGATAAACAATACTGAGGTGCTCCCTTTGGAAATTAAAATTGTTCTGCACCAAACGAGGATAAACCAAATGTCAGTTCTCTAGTCCAGAGTCATCTGTTACCTGAATGTGTGTTAAAGTCTCATTTTTAGAATAACTTATGTACAACACAAATAGTGATCGCTTAAGATTTTCTTTTACTGTGGATGTGTGTGTTTGGATGATAATTGTACTACAAATGGGCAGCTATCTGTCTAAATAGCTGTTTGTGTTGACACAGCTTGGGACGCAAACTTGTTTTCTATAGCCCCCTGTGTGGCTGCACCTCCTTGTGTAAATATTCCCCCAGAGTAGATTAGTTCACATAAAACTGGTTTCTCTTACATCATCAAAGCAACTGGAGCTCTGGGATGCATCACTGCAAGAAAGGGCCTGGCCACAGTTCTTCTGTATTGAATTTGGAGATGGTGAGGGGTGATACAGCAATACACACATGATATACCAAATAATATGGAGACGGTGGTAATACCAGTGCAGTACCCTTGAAACTAGTCTTGTGCTCTGTGTTACACTGCCCTTGTGATCCAACTTCCCTGAACCTCCACTTTCTTCTTCCTAAAGCTGCAGGGCGTCCCCAGCATGTTGTGCCATACCACAGTCTGCTCCTTCCTTCCACCTGGCCAGAGGCAGTTAGAACTGAGCGGAGGTGCACGCTTTTTGTAGCATCGGTCTGTCAATCCCACGAAACATTGCCGTACTGATGGTATCATGACTTTTCTTACGGCATCAGTATTGCTACAGTTTTAAAAGCTGTAATTTTGTACTAGTTGGAGGGAGGTCATAGCCAGGCTGTATACACTTGAGCTGCATCCCCTGAAGGTAACTGAAACCTAGTTCTAAATTCTTCCAACTTTATGGAGAAATTTTTGATCATCTGTCAAGTTTTGGTG